CAAATTGTACCTATAGATTGAGTCTTCCTCATCCTTTTCTGTTTTTGTAATCACATTTTTTTAGTCTTAAAATGACACAATATCATTTATTTTATGTGGTGTTGAGGATTGAACCCAGTACCTCACTCATGATAGCAAGCACTCTACCACTTATCTACAGCTCCAATCCCCTCCTCTGTTTCTTATTTGTATCTTTTTTCTGATAACCAGTATTAATATATTTTAATTTATTTTTGTGTATAAATTTTAAAATCAGTTTGATATATTTATCTGTATTCAGTTTTAGGTTTTTTTTCTTCCATCTTTAATTATTTGTCAGTATCTATAGTAGGTCATTATGTTTTAAAACACATTAGGAAAGGAAAATGTGGTATCTCGATCCCTTACAATAAAAGGGAAGAAGGTGGATGGATTTTAATGATTGAGGGAAACCCAAACTAGTTTTTTCTTAATTTTTAAGTTCTTTTTAAAATTTCTTTGTCTTTTCTGTTCTGAATGAGTCAACTTTTCTAGCCCTTAATTCTAGAACAGAACATTAGAATTAGAGGATTCTTAAAATTCCCTTAGCCTAGTTCCTGCATCTTCCAAATAGGAAGCTGGGGTAAGGTTGTGACTTGTTTACTTCTTTACTAATTTGGAGATACTGTGAGGCCTTGCTTTGATCTGAGCCTTAGAAGGTGGATGTCCGGCCTTTAGTTTGGCTTTTTCCTTCCCAAGCTCATGCTCAGGTACTTTGGACTTTTTTGTTGTAGTTGCTTTTTTTTTTCCTGGGAACTAGAAATAGGGTCTGCATGCTATAAAAGTTTTATTGATTGCAGTGCAGATGAGGTTCGCAGAAAATCTCTGGTTCTCAAGTTCCCTAAACAGCAACTTCCTCCCAAGAAGAAACGACGTGTTGGAACCACTGTTCACTGTGACTATTTGAATGTGAGTATCTGCATTGCCTGCTTTTATCAGATGGGTTCTCATTGATTTCCTAGTCTGTGACCTGTCTTTGACAGCTTTAGATTTAGGTTCTCCCTCTGGTCTTTCCCTGAGGATTTTTCATGCTGTTCATTACAAGATTTCTAAACTATATCTACTGAGGAAATGTGGTTTTGTATTTTTTTGTTTGTTTGTTTTTGATAAAGCATTCTGACTTATTGTTTCTCCTTAGAGACCTCATAAATCCATCCACAGGCGCCGGACAGACCCTATGGTGACACTGTCATCCATCTTGGAGTCTATCATCAATGACATGAGAGATCTTCCAAATGTGAGTTCATTACATTGGACATTTAAAGTAGGAATGACAAGGCCCTTTGTTTTATCTCTGATTTCAGATAGAGGGCAGTAGCATATAGACCTAGGTTCCTGGAACTCCTAATTTTTTATGGTGTTGTTTTTATATATTTTTTAATAGTACATTAAATAGACCTACTTTATTTAGAAAGAGTCCTTTAAGAATTGATGGCCAGGAAGATAGATAAGATGTGAGAGTCTTCAGGTATTGGTTCTGGCAAGTGTTTTTTGCTCAAGAATGATGTTGGCTGTTGTTTTCACAGACATACCCTTTCCACACACCAGTTAATGCAAAGGTTGTAAAGGACTACTACAAAATCATCACTCGACCAATGGACCTACAAACACTCCGTGAAAATGTGCGCAAACGCCTCTATCCATCTCGGGAAGAGTTTAGAGAACATTTGGAGCTAATTGTAAAAAATAGTGCAACCTACAATGGTAAGAATCACGTTTCTTGACTGCCAAGGTCACCATTAAGATCATTGTTATCCCTTATTGGCCCTAAATTCAGACTTGACTGGAACAATTGAAAGAACTACAATGATTAGTGCATTTGTGGGTATGAAAATCAGGCAATGCATTGTTTCTGTCACTTAATAAAAAAATATCACTTTTTATTTCCACTGTTTAATATTTTTATTGTCCATTTTTAAATTCTTTTTAGATATACATAACAGTAGAGTGTATTTTGACACATTATACATAAATGAAGTATAATTTATTCTAATTAGGATCCCATTCTTGTGGTTGTACACAACATAGATTTTCCCTGATGTTGTATTCACATGAACAGGAATGTTATGTCAAATTTATTTTACTGTCTTTCCTATTCCTATCCCCCCTCTCTTCCCTTTCCCATTATTTAATCTTAATATATTCTCTTGAGAATTTGGAGTCTATGTTGAAATGAAACAGTTGTATGGGGAGTGGTGGGAAGATGAAATAGTCCTAGGTAAATAGTAGAGTGCAGCATTTAGTGGGGATGGAATTTGTGTGAAGTATACATTTGTGACCATATTTGCTGTGTGTGAATCTTTGCCTTGGCCTACAGATATGTTATAGGGACTATTATGTGTCCACTTTACGAAGAAGTTGAAAAGGCAAGGAAGAAGAAATTTGTTTCAAAGACTCAAAAGACATGAACGATACAGCTTCTGCATATAAAGGATTAATATTTTCTGGTTTTCAGTTGACTCCTTGAGTACTGATGTGTAGGGTAGAGATTCAGAGTATAGATAGAATATAAATAATGACCCTGCTGCTTACTAATTGGATTACTGTAGATGTTATTTAACCTCTCATAGCCTTTCTCATCTATATGCATGGAACAATAGTAGAATCTAGATTTTAAAACCTTTTACAAGCCAGCCCAACCTATTTATCTACTCTCATGGCTAATGATCAGCTTCTATATTTACTATGTAGACTCCTATAACACTTAACATTATATTTCATTAAAAATTCCTTGGGCTGGGGTTGTGGCTCAGGGCAGAATGCTTGCCTCACACATGTGAGGCACTGGGTTCGATCCTCAGCACCACATAAAACTAAACAAATAAAGATATTGTGTCCATGTATAATTAAAAAAAAATACTTTAAAAAAAATTCCATGCTGTTTCTTCATACCTTTATGGACTTCTCTTTGACGTGCCTTTTCTTCCCTTGAGTGGTGAATTTCCATTTATATTTAAAATAACTTACCAGATTACTTAAAAGACTAATTTTTCTGTTTTCTGTGCCCCAGCACAATTAAATCAACTTTCCTAGCCTTAGTATATCATAATTATCTATATATGTCAGCACTTTGTGACTTCCTGCAGAAAGTATGTTTCTTATTTATATTCTCAGGGCCATGCAGGCATATACAAGGGAAGAATAAATTTGTTAGGTCCAATTGTCATTCAGATTGCAAGGATAATTACTTAAAAGAAAAATCTTTTTTTTTTTTTTTAGTTGTAGTTGGACACAATACCTTTATTTTTATCTATGTATTTTTATGTGGTGTTAAGGACCGAACCCAGAGTCTTGCACATCCTAGGTGAGTGCTCTGCCACTGAGCCACAACCCCAGCCCCACAAAATCAGTTTTTAAGAGGAATGGAAAGGTAAAAGTTGACTGAGGATACAGAACTTGAGGTGCCTACGGGTCACTGAAGTGAAGATGTTTGTTTAAAAAAATTGATAATTTCTTGGGCTAGGGATATAGCTCAGTTGGTAGAGTGCTTGCCTCTCATGCACAAGACCCCAGCACCACAAGAAAAAAAATTGGTAATTTCTCAGCTGGCTGCAGTAATGTATGCTTCTAATTCCAGCAATTGGGGAGGTTGATGCAGGATCACAAGTTTGGGGTTGGCCTCAGCAAATTAGTGAAATCCTGTCTCCAAATAAAAAATTTAAAGGGCTTTAGGATGTAGCTCAGTAGTAGAACATTCCTGGATTCAGTCCCTGATACTGTGTGCACACACAAAAAATCTCCCAGCCTTATATCCCCCTCTAGTTCACTCTATTTTCTTCCTCATACTGAATGCTGATAATAGTAGATATACCACCAAGTGCTTTACTTGAATTTTTTCTTTACTTTGTTGTAAGGAAACTTTGAAATGGGTTCTGTTTTACTATTTATTTTTCAGATAAACGTACAGGCCAGTACCATTTAAATGACTTGACCAAGGTGATCATGCAGCTACAATGTGGCAAAGTACAGATATTTTATTTTCAGTGTAGCAGTGTTAACCTAGGTATATCTAATTCCACAGCCTGTACTCTTTTTTTTTTTTTTTTTAAGAGAGAGAGAGAATTTTTTAATATTTATTTTTTAGTTTTCGGCGAACACAACATCTTTCTTTGTATGTGGTGCTGAGGATGGAACCCGGGCCGCACACATGCCAGGCGAGCGCGCTACCGCTTGAGCCACATCCCCAGCCCCTGTACTCTTAATTACCATGATTCATATACTCTTCTCTGCCTTTGTGTGTATGTGTGTGGGGGGATTACTGGGGATTGAGCCCAGGAATACTTTACCACTGATCTACATCTATAGCTCATTATTTTCCCAATTGTCTTGTTTTCTTTTCTTTTTTTTCAGTGCTGGGAATTGAACTCCGGGCCTTGTACATGGTAGGCAAGTGCTCTACCATTGAGCCATACCCTCAGCCCTTTTTAACTAATTAATTTATTGTTTTGGAACTGAGGTTTGAGCTTGGATACTTTACCACTGAGCTACATCTCTAGTCTTTTCTATTTTGCAATGGGGTCTCACTAAGTTGCTGAGACTGGCCTTGAACCTAAGATCTACCTGCCTTGGGCTTAGTGGTAAAGCACTTGCGTAGCATTTGTGGGGCACTTAGTTGGATCCTCGGCACCACATAAAAGTAAACAAAATAAAGGTATTATGTTCATCTGCAACTAAAAAATCAAAATCTTAAGGAAAAAATAAAAAAGATCCACCTGCCTCAATCACCTGACTCACTAGAATATTATTTTTAATTATTTTTATTTATTTATGTAATGGTACCAGGGATTGAATCCAGGGCCACTCAATCACGGAGCCACATCCCCAACCCTTTTTGTATTTTATTTAGAGACAGGGTCTCAGTTGCTGAAGGTCTCACTGATTTGCTGAGAGTGAATTTGAACTTGCGACTCTTCTGCCTCAGCTTCAGCCTCATGAGCCACTAGGATTATAGGCAAGCACCACTGCACCCAGTCATTATTGTCTTTAATATGAAATGCTTCATGGATTTATGTGTCATCTTTGCACAGGGACCATGCTAAGCATCTCTGCATTGTTTGAATTTTTAGTATATGTGCTGCTGAAGCAAGCCCTAGGGTATTAGGTTCTTAACTAAATATGTTAAAAGGCATAGGAAACTCTTGCCTCTGGCATTTAATGATTATCTCTTACTATTCTCTCTGTAGGTCCAAAGCACTCATTGACCCAGATTTCTCAATCCATGCTGGATCTCTGTGATGAAAAACTCAAAGAGGTAAAACAGGCAATGGGACATAAAGGTGGGGAGTTATGGAATTTAGGAAGTAGGGGATTTGTCAGGAGAAAGGTATACAAATTTAATAGGAGAAAGAGTGGCAGAGGCTTAGTACATGGGAGCCTTAGAAATTTTATAGGCCAGTCCTTTTTGTAGATGGGAAAGCTCAATCCATACGGAAAAAAATGACTTGTTTTGGGCATCATGACTATTAAATAGTAAAGTTAAGATTAAGATCTAGAACATTATTTAACTCCTTAGAAAGAGGGAAGGAAATTGACTTCCCTGGGAGTTCCCTGTCACTAAGAGACTGATTAATGTTTTGGCAGGGAAGAATTTTAATTTTTCAAATATAATTTATCTATATACCGTCTTACCAAATAAAATTGTGGCACTTTACAAGCTCACAGAAGCACAAGTGTGATGTTCATGTTACTATTGAAATAAACAGTTCACCAAAGTATGGATAATTAAATGGTCAATAAACATGAGAAAATTTTTAACTTGATTGATCATTGGGGAGATGTATATTTAAGCCACAAGTTAAGTACTACTAGTACCCATTAGAAAGGCTAAAATTAAAAAATCAAAACTATGTTGAGGTGGATGTGGAACAGTGGGAACACAAGAGTTTTTTAATATACAGAGTCTGAAATGAATTTATTGGGTTAAGTTCTCTTTTATAAAATTATTAATCAATAGTGACTAATCAATGTTCAGTATGTTTGGTAATATATTGTTCTACATTAAAAAAAAAAAATCAGTATGATGAATAAAGCCTTACTTACTAAAGGTGTTTTTGTTGTGGGAGCCAAGCTGTTGATGTGCAAGGATGTATACTTTTAGTGTTCTAGAATGTAGAATATCTAAGGAAGTTGTTGAAACATCCTTTTTGACCCTTGTTTTCTGGAGTATCTCTCTATACTTTTCACCTAGAACCAAATGATAGTTCAGAGTTCAACTTGTTTGGGGCAAAGGTCATAAAAAAGCTTGCTGAACCTTAAGTTATCCTTAATTTTTTTTGAAACAAAGAGAGAGAGAGAGAATTTTATTATTTATTTTTTGGTTTTAAGTGGACACAACATCTTTATTTGTATGTGGTGCCGAGGATCGAACCCAGGCCGCACACATGCCAAGCGAGCACGCTACCGCTTGAGCCACATCCCCAGCCCAATCCTTAATTTTTATATGGGGATTGCACCACAGGGAAACATCTGGGAAACTTTTAAAAAGATACTCCTCATCTTTATATTTATATCTGGGAAACTTTTATCTTGGTTTTGTTTTATTTCAGAAAGAAGATAAATTGGCTCGTTTAGAGAAAGCTATCAATCCCTTGCTTGATGATGATGATCAAGTGGCATTTTCCTTCATTCTAGACAACATTGTCACCCAAAAAATGATGGCAGTTCCAGACGTAAGTGGTTTCTGCTAAATATTGTGAGGGGAAAGGAAAGAAAGTATAGCATATGTATGTGTATATTATATTCTTAACAATTGTGTATGTCAGGTTATAGAAACTTCAAAGATGCCAAAGCCAGGAGCAGTGCATATACCTATAATCCCAGCAATTTGGGAGGCTGAGGCAGGAAGATCAAAGTTTGAGGCCAGCCTCAGCAACTTAGTAAGGGCCTAAACAACTAAGCAAGACCCTGTCTCAAAATAAAAACTAAAAAGGGCTGTAGGTATGACTCGGTTGTTTAGTGCCCCTGAATTCAAGCCCTATTTACCCCCCCCCCACCAAAACAAAAAGAGATCCTCTTGTTTTATATTCAGTATTTGTGTGCTCCTGAATAGTGCTATAGAGAAAGGATGCCAGCTAATAGATGGCTGTTGATTTAGAGGTGATTTTATATGAACACTGTGATAATAACCATGTTTGTTGTCTTTTGGGTGTGGGAGGTGGGGTCTGCCATTTTCAGCTTTTTGGCAGGGCTATCATCAAATCTATTTTATTGATTCTATGAACCACTTTGTTGTAATGAGCCTTCCCAGAAATTCTGAACCGAGTTTTCTTATGCATTGTAGGCATATGTTCTAAGTGTGTAGTGCTATAAAATTTCTGGATGAGACTTAGAAAATTATTGTTTCATGTGTGTAGTACTAGGAATTGAACCTTAAGAATAAGGAATTTTAACTGTTAATGATCAGGGCATAGGAACTCTTATTAAAGGGACCCCTGAACTCCTTAAATAATACACAAAGGTTTATATGAACATGAGTTTTTCTGGGGAAAATGTCTATAGATTGCATTAGGAATATTTGTGACCCAACAAAAGATGAGAATATCTGGTGTAAAGAATGGTTTCCAGTGCTGGGGTTGTGGCTCAGAGGTAGAGTACTTGCCTGGCATGTGTGAGGCATTGGGTTCGATTCTCAGCACCACATATAGATAAGGATGGTCGACAATTAAAATATATATTTTTTAAAAAGAAATGAGTTAAAAAAAAAAAAAAGAATGATTTCCAGCTAAGCAAGGTGGCACACACTTGAAATCTCTGTAATATGACTTGAGAAATTGAGGCCAGGGGGATTGCAAATAAGAGGCCAGCCTGTTCAGTTTAGTGAGATTCTATCTCAAAATAAATTTTGAAAAGGGTCTAGGATGGGCTGGGGTTGTGGCTCAGTGGTAGAGTACCTGCCTAGCACATGTGAGGCCCTGGGTTCAATTCTCAGCACCACATAAAATAAATAAAAGGTATTGTGTCCAACCATAACTAAAAAATAAAATATAAAAAATATTTTTAAAAAAGTCTAGGATGTATCTTAGTGGTAGATTGCCGTGGGTTCAATCCCCAGTACTGTAAAAAATTAAAAACAAAAAAGAAAAACCATTTAATTTCCTGTGCTTGCCTTCTTTTTTACTAGTCCTGGCCATTTCATCACCCAGTTAATAAGAAGTTTGTTCCAGATTATTACAAAGTGATTGTCAATCCAATGGATTTAGAGACTATACGTAAGGTGAGTGACTTGGTCTGAAATGCTTTTTTTTGTAATTGATATCTTTTTATATTTGTATCTAAGTTTCTGATTTTTTTATGTCATAGAATATCTCCAAGCACAAGTACCAGAGTCGGGAGAGCTTTCTAGATGATGTAAACCTTATTCTGGCCAACAGTGTTAAGTACAATGGTGGGTATTTCTCTTTTTTTTCTCTCTTTCCATCCATCTGTCCATCCTCCATCCATCTAACATTAGTTAGCTTTATTAAAGTGTATGCAGCAGCCTTGAGAAGTGGTAGTCAGCTGAATCAGTCAAGTGATTTAGTCTGCTTTTTTTTTTAAACAGGCACACATGTTAGTGAGTGTTCTGTAAAGCTTGCCATTAAACTTTTAATGATGAAAAAGTAGTCGATGCTTACTTTTGAAATTCTGTAAAGCACAGAAAAATGAGGTGCGAATAAAAATCAAATGGATATTACTTTGGGCTTTGAGTCATCACTGCGTTTCCATAAGATATGAAAACTTACCTATGCCCGAGGCCCTTAGATGGAGCTTAGGGGAATGTGTGACTTTAGAACATGGTAAGCTTCCTTGATGCATGGAGTTGTATTCAGTACATGAACTAGTTGAATAATACATGCTAGGCTCTGTGCTTGTTACTTAATCTCCTGATAGTAAAGATGTTCACTGTTCTCAAATAATTCACAATTCAGTTGGTAGACTTAAAATGCAGCTTGATAAGGGACATAACAGAAGGATGTATAAAGTGCACTAGAGGACAGTAAGGTAAGGAGTATCTTAACCTAAGGGTTAAGGAGGGCTTCATAAACAAGTTTATGAAGTTCATTTCTGAGTAACTCACTTCTTAAGCAAACATTGAATTGAGTACCTTATATATGCTGGCATAATAGATATTCCAAGTATAAAATCAAATGATATAGTTCCTTCCCCAAAATTGGTTATAGCTTAGTTGGGGAAACAGAAAAGAAAAAATAATTTATTAATACTTATGTTAGAAGCATGTATAGCGTATCACAGGACAGACTAAATGAGAGTAAGATGTAGAGGAAGCTTTCTGGGAGAGTTTTTCATGAGCTGGGATCAATACAGTTTGCTAGGCAAAGCATGTGAAGGAGAAAATGTTCTAGGTAATGAGAAGAGCAGTATGTAAAGACACAAGAGACCGGAAATTGCATAATAGCTTTAAGAAACAAGTTGTGGATGCAATTAAATGTCCATGTTAGTTGGGTATTGTTGTGCATGTCTGTAATCTTCAGCAATTTGGGAGGCTGAGGCAGAAGGATCGATCACAAGTTTGAGGCCAGCCATGGCAATTTAGCAAGACCCCGCCTAAAAAAGAAAAAAGGGCTGGGGATATTACCTGGTTTTAGAGCACCCCTAGGTTCAGACCCTAGTACCACAAAAAAAAAAAAAGTACATTTTGGTAACTGACTAATGAGTTATGTGTTTAGAGAGAGAGGTAGGAGTTGAATCAGAAGGCATTGTGCATCATACTCAATAATTTTACTTTATCCTAAATGGGAAAACAACAAAGCAGGGAAACAATAATCCCACAATTTTTTTTTTTTTTTAAGAAAAATAGAAGAGGGAGATAAGGGCTTTGAGAGACTTTTTTTTTTTTAACATTCTGAGGTCTCAACTAAGAATCCACATGATAATTTGATTTTCCCCTATAATAACAGTTTTATTTATGGTGCCTCTAAGTTTAACAAATAGAAGAGACAGAGAATTGGAGGGAGAAAAGGGAGGAGATCAAGGAAATGGCATATTCTGGAATATTCAATACCATGGAAGAATAAAAGAACAGGACAAGTTCAGGGAATTATACTTGACTATATCATGTATGTTTCATTAAAGGAAGTAGTAGATGAA